TGCAACGACGAAAACCCTCGTTCTCGGCTTCCACCAACGTTCCACCTTCCTTTTTTTCCCCCTTTCTTATAATGCTTTCTACCTCTCTCTCTCTCTCTCTCTCTCTCTCTCTCTCTCTCTTTCTCTCTCTCTTTCGTTCGCTCTTTTATATTACACTCACTGCTACGGTAGAGCGCCCTGTTAAGAGTTTACCGCATGGCAACGTATTTTTTTCGATACACGACATATACTACTACTACTACCACTACTACTACTACTTCTACTACGTTCCTGGGAGTACAGTTCCAAGCCTCCGTTTATCATCCTTGGACTCATCCCCAAAGCATTTCTTTCTCTAACTTTTTTTTTTGGTCTTTTCTTTTCTAGAAAAATGTTAAGAAAATATAACAAGCAAAAAAGTAGTATGATTTATTTACAAATTATAAGATCTATCCGTTTAGTATTATTAATAAGTCTACCCAGAGAGCATAAGCTCGGATAAATTGTCAAGAAAATGTAAAAAGAAGGACTAACAGATAAAAGAATATTTTTTTTTATTATTAACTCTTTACTCTTTCTGATAAAAAAAAACAAACAAAAAAAACAAGAATATTGAGAGAAAGGGTTAACGAGTTTCGTTCCGCAAAAGCAACTTCAGAGAGATAGTACGATTCAACTGAACTCTACTACTCGATACAACATATCGGATCGTTTCTCTCCATGAGTTTTCCATCCGTCCTGTTGGAAGGCTAACGAACTATCGATGATTAATCGTCAAAGCTACCGACCGATATTTCTACTACACGTGTATTATCTATGTAGAGAGAGAGAAGAGAGAGAGAGAGAGAAAGAAAAGCTGACAGAGATAGAAATACTTTCTCTCTGTTCAACGTTTCAAGATTTTCTTTCCGTTATTTCTACTATTTCTTTCTATAAAGATATCATTGTGTTGGCACGATCTTTTTATCGAATCTAATGACTTTTCTCATTCACACTTTGATATATCATATGTCTCTTATAAATAACAATTACGATCTACACTTATTTATCACAACTTGATTATATAGATGTAAATATATATATAGAAAGAGAGAACAAATATTAAATTATAAATATAATTGTTATCGATCGATGAGAATCGGATTTTAATCATCTTTTAAATCTTACATATTTAAAAATGAACCTAACTGCTTACATTGTTCAATCAGATACAAGGAATATATATGATTACATCGAATCTAACTGAACAATTTTTGAGAATAAGAAGAAGTTAAAAAGAAGTTTCTGGAAATAACTTGGAGAGTTTCCGTTTTACGATTAAATTCATTTCGATCGATCTATAACATACACAAGGTAAAATGTAATCTAGTACACTGTTATATTATATAGTATACCACCTATCAAAAATTCACGAGAGCTTCTTGTCCTACTTCGTGAACGATTACATCTAGACCACTTGTAAATGATGCGAATGGTGTTTTTTCAAGTATATTTTTATCTTAACGAGTAGACAAAAATTTCAAATGCGATTAGAATGAAAAGGTTTCTTTGATAAAAAGTTAATTTAGAAAATGTGAAAACAAACAGAAATGTAGATACGCGTAATAAGTAAGCTAAGTACATATTATATATATATATAACTATATATTAAACTTATTGTTAGCAAACACGCGTTATCTTAATACCGTGTATTCTTATTAGATGAAGGAATTTTTGTTCGTTCGGTTGGTAAATTATCGAGGAAGATCTACGTGGGCGCAAACACGTTCAAATACAATCCTGACGTCTCTGTAACGCGAAACGCTTTCGCCGGATATCGAGCGGACGTGTACCTACCACGCACCGATTGATGGCCGAGCCAATTGGCAGCCGAGCACTTGGCAAGAATGATGCAATTAACCAATAAACACGCTTTCCAACAAGGCAACTGCACAAATGTACTCCTATGTGTACGTATTGTATCTATGTGTATGGATGGGAGAGCACGGTACTGCTCACAATGACGATACCAATGACGCGCCACCCTACAAACGTATATACACCCATTCTCTTCCAACACATCCTACTATCTACATATGCGTATACAAACAGTAATACATATATACCTAGCCTATAACATATTCCTACTACTGCCGAGATGAACTTCATACGTTTACCACGTTTCGTCGGTCCATCGAGTTTGCCTCGTGACGACGATTCCCGTTTACATTCAATGGCCTTACCGAACGAATTCATCCTTTCCAAAGTTTCTATCTGACATTCGAGAGATTTTCACAATTGTTTTCAGTTATTCATTTTTTTTTTTATTCTGTTTCTTTTTTTTTCGAATCTTTTGGAACATTTGGAAAAAATTCAATATTATTCTATTACCAAAATATAACTCTGCAAAGAAGAATATTTCTGTTAACAATTTCTCTATTCCTTTCTATTTTTTTTCTTTTTTTTCTCTCTCTCTCTCTCTCTCTCTCTCATCACTTCTACTGTAACCGCAAAATATCGAAATTTCGCTCAAATGAACTTTGCCAAAGCGATTGGATAACCGGGTCGATATGTATGAGGCTATCAAAAATGTCACGTAATCTTTTAACATTTCTGTTTTAACTTTTAAGATAGCATATATATATATATATATAGAAATAGAAATGACATTTTTTTGTTAGTATAAAACGATCCTTGAAATAATGTTTAGCAAAATATCGCTTATTGAGATTAAAAGAAAGACATATTGCAAAATCTTTTGTGTTTTTCTTGATGATTTATCACACGCGTATCAAAAATCTATTCTGTAGGCTCTTAAAGAACGGATAAAGATCCATAGTGTTGTATTATTTTGCAGAGTGAATTACTAACGTAAATAGTTGATGACTAGAAACGATCTACTCGAACGATGATATATTGAGAAGTCGTTCGTTCGGAAGTCAACAATCCGATAACTCTTATCTTTCTTTTAATACTTTGTCTATACGTGTGTGTATATACATATGTACGAAGTATGTATATATATATGTATATATATGTACGTACAATATATCTGATAGGGATAAAATAATTCTTTCAAAGCTTTTTATCCGTGCTACGAGTACGATACGTCGATAAGTCGTGGGAGAGATATCGAGGAAGAATTTACGTGACGATAGAGCTTCGACAGACGGCGATATTTTTCTACTAAAACGATCGTCGTCGTCATACTTGTCGCCCTTGGTGTTGTTCTTTCTTTGAGTACTACCTATCATTACATTTGCAATATGTTTTTGCCAATTTTATAAACTTACGTGTGTGTCTTTTAAAAGATTATTTCTTATCTATTTCAAGTACAACACAATTAGTATTATTCGATTTAACAATGATAAATAATTTAATTATACTAGGAAACTTTATTCTATGATTCTGACGACATTGTCTAACAAATTTGTCTAATGGTTTTTCAATGCAAGGTCGTTTAAACGTTATTTTGTTTAAAATTGCTTAACGCATGGCTAATTATAAGATAAAAGTAGGTAGACGCGATAAGGACTTAATTATTATTGTATACAATTTTACAAGATACATAGATATATATTATATATGTATATGCATTAGTACATACAGAGAATGTTTTTCTGTAGATGCGTGGAATTTTTTTTGAAAAGCTCGATAAATGGTGAGTACGTTCCTCGGTTAAATTTAGAACAACAAGACGAGTATTTTAGCTTGCTTCGTTGCGTTTGCCTTCTTCACTTTCGTAGTAGTAACAGCATCACCACCACCACCACCAACACTACCACGAAATAGCTGGCAAGATTAAGTATCACCGTGTCGAGCACAAGAAAGGGCAGAGTGATAATAACTGTTTGTTGAGGGTCGAGAGGAAAGGTCGTCGAAGGTTGCACCGTACCCGAAGAAAAAGAAGAAAGAGAAGAGGGTTGAATTATACTCTCTGTAGTAGTGTCGTATATGCGGGTAAACTTCTAACGTAGAGAGAGAGAGAGAGAGAGATACGCGTGTTCCTTGTGAAAGAAACAAGAGACTAGGAAACGGGGTTGAAAAAGAGAATAAGAAGAAGGAAGAGTCGCGGTCGTTAGCGAGACAACGAGAAGGGTGAGTGAGAGTTGCGAGAAGTCGAGGATGAAAATGGTTGGCCGCCTGTGTAAGAAGAGCGAAAATGAAAACGTGCCAACGAAGGCTGCTGCAGGCTGATACGAACCAGAACAGAGAGATCCTAACTTGAATAAGGAAGATTCGTCAGCTTGAACGAGATAGATTCGAGCGTGGAAAAGGGCGAACGCGCCAATGGAATGATGAATTACTTCTTTTCCTGAAGGGGAAAGGAAAACGAAAGGGGACTTAGAAAGAAACGGATTTCCTTTTATTATGACGTTCAATCTATCCTTCTTCAACGGAGGAGAAATACCAAATGAGATAGATTAGTATTAATTTTAAAAGATAAGAAAGGGTTAACACAAAAATATCGAGATTTGTATTTGTTTTTTTTTCTATTTTATATTGGGTTGTTCGAAAAGTTATTTCATTTTTTCCTGACATAATAAAGATATTAATAGATGCAAACCGGCAAATAACAACACGTGAGATAAGTGAGAAGTTAAATTTATCAAATTCAACTGATTATGTCCACTTGAAAGGCCTAAATTTAATCTCGAAGAAAAAATTGTCTTCATTTTCACTAAAGAAAAACGAAATTTACTTTCCGAACAACCCAATATTATTTATATCTAAATTTATGTTTACAAATTTCAATCCAATTATAACAATATCTAAATCTATAAGGGTATATAATAAAAATGCAGCGAAGAAAGTCTAGAAATAGAGAGAGAGAGAGAGAAAGAGAGAAAGAGGTATAAAAAAAAAAAGGAAAGCATAGGGGACTCGGAAGAAACGATCCATGTCTGGGTGAGGTTAGGGAGAGAGTGGTAATGTTGAAAGAGAGAGGCAGGAATAAGCTCGAGACCACGTGGTGCGGCGGCGAGTGAGTGGTGGGGATGAGAGCGCTGCGGTAGTGGGGACAAGCTTCTCGAGTCTGCGGTTGATTAGTTGATACCCGTCCGCCGTCGAGGATAGGTCGTCGTTTGGTCCTATTTTTCTACGCGGTAATAATTTCTCACGCGATTTCAAATGTGCAACAACATAAGTGTTTATTTAAAAGTGATCGTTCTTATTTAACAGTTAGTTTTTGTTCGATCGTATAATTAAACGTAAAAATAGTTTGAAACGTAGATTTTTTTTTTCAAATTCAGTGAATATTATTACAGTGAATTTTTGTGCGAGTGTGAGAACGGGAGTATCCATAGTGAAATAAAATACAAAAGGAGTACAAAAAAAAAAAATAAAAAGAAAGAAAGAGTGCGTGCGCGATCGAGCGTTTGAAAAAGTTCAAAACGAGGGAAGTCACACGCAACGTTTACGTTATTATCATTTTTTGTTGTTTTTCTTATTATATCTTAATCTCAGTGAATAATTGTGAATACATGCTATGATCTGGGATACAATTGGATATACTTGAGGAGGTTAGAACGGTGATATAAGAAGAAGAGAAAAAAAAAAAGGATAGCGAGGAGCGACGGCAACGAGGTGGAGGTATCATCAGGGAAGGCCACGGCCTCGTCCTACCCTCTTGGAGGAATTCTCGCCACAAGATGTACCCCAGTGCTGGTATAAATGCGGCAGCTGTGGCCGTGGCAGCTGCGGCACGACACCCGGTAAGTACAACTACTTTAAAACTTACTTTACCTGCCTTTTTTTCCTCTTTTATTTTCTTTGTCTTTCACGATCATCGATTATATTCTTTTCAAACGATTTATTTTTTTATATCAAGATAAAATTTAACACTAGATATAACAGACCAATCATTTCGATAGGTTAGGCTATATTTTAATTCAAAATTTTTACTTCATGTAACATTAGTAAATAATTAAGCGTTTTGTTATTTAAATATGTCTATAAATTCATTTATTTATTAAAATTATTATTGTTAAATATTTGTTTGTTAATTTTTAAGAGTAAATAAAAACTGGAAGCCTCAAAAAGCATTTTTTTGTATACACCAGTCTGACTAGTGTGGTAGAGATAGGTATACTGAAAATGACGGTATATCTAGTGTTAAAAAATAACGTTCATTATTGAAAAATGCCGTTATATGAATCATATGTATTAGATTTTTCGTGTTATTTATTTATTTTCGTATATACACGTGAATTTAGATAGACAAACCGCATAAGATGACTAGCATAATATTTAACGGTATATGCTCAGTTTTGTTAATAAATACATTTAGGTGTGTTTCCATCGAGTAAAATAAAGTAAAAATAAAGAGGACAGATAATCGTTAATCTTTTGTTTTAATATCGTGCGAAATACTACTTACGTAAAGTTGTTGTACAGGTGGTGGCTCCTTGAAAATCCATAGCGCATGAGATAGAAGGAGGCTATTTCGTTAAGAAATTTACGAGCCCGTCGGCTAATAACTCTCGTCTCTATCGTACGAGAATACGCGAGCTCGATGATTAGCTAAACCGTTATAAACTTAAGCAATATATCTTCCGTAATACGTATGTCGCACTTTCAAAGCTGAGATTCCCAAGTTGTCGTCGTCATCATCCTCATCCTCGTCGTCTTAGGTTTAGCCGTCGTCTACGTCGTTGTTAGGAGAAGCTAAATGATTCGTACTTTCTAAAATATCTGTTCGTTTTTGTCGACTCAAGAATGAACGATTTGATTCAAAGAATTTGTTGATGTCTTTCTTTTTTTTTTTTTTTTTTTTCAATTTTATCTAAACGTTTAAATCATTTATTCTTGGCAGAGCTATATGTATACTTTACTTAACGACTTATCTATGAATAGAAAGGAAATATTTTATTACCGTGAAAATGCTTAAAGAAAGGAACGTATTCAATCATTTTTAGATTTTATCTGATCCGTCTGTTAGAAGTTTTAAGCTCTTCCAAATATGTAATTCAGATAGTAGTAGTAGTAGTAGTAGTAGCAAGCTTTCACTTCTGTCAACACAACAATAGAATACAATGTAGATAATTATTTTTCCTTTCGCTTGTTACACACTTGTTTACAATGTCTATATTGAAAAAGAAAATTCAATAGAAAAAAAAAAAAAAGAATCGAAACGAAACGAAAGATGAATAAAAAGAAAAATATTATTTTTCTGATCCCTCTTTTAACATCAGATGGAAAAAAAGGGAAGATGAGAGAAAATAAAGATGTGAAAAAAGGTTGAGAATATTAGGTAGTGGTAATAGTAGTAGGGTTTGGGTATATTGAGGCCGGTTACAAAGCGTCTCTAGCTCATGACCGCTTCTCTCGACTAATATCCAGCGATTATCGATACAAAGCAACCGTGAAAGTATCCTCAGCGTGTTCTACTCGGGATCGCAACGTTCTGCTTCGTAGTCTGTGGTTTCTTCCTCGGTATACCGCCTCGTCGAGCATAGAGATTACAAACGGAATTTAAGCCCTCCTCCTCCTCCTCCACCTTCTTCTCCACCTCCTCCAACAGCCAATTTACGTCTACACGAAGGAACGAAGCGCGTGCACATAGACCTGACACAGTGTCTTCTTACAGAGTACTGTCATTAATTTCAAATCATTTTATCTAGATCCTCCTTTCTCTTTTTTTTTTTTTTCTTTTTCTTTTTTACCCTTTTCTTTACAGATATATCGAATCTTTTATATATATATATATATATTTTTTTTTATTATTATTTTTACAAGGATAAACTCTCTAGATAGAATTTTTGTTATTTTTGTTAGTTGTATTGTCGAGTTTTCAGTTAGTATTTGAACAATGTCCCTGAAATATTTTGATATATTTATTTTAGCTCCCCTAGGGTATATGCAGGTATAGTAGGTAGGTATGGTTAGGTATGGCAGGTAAAGAAAATAATACAAATTGTGTCTATGAATAATAATAAAATTTTATCGACCACCTAATGCATAAGAAACTGACAGACAGTATAGGTAATTCAAAAAGATACTGTAGATACTATTATAATGTAAATAATTATTGATTTAACTTTTTATTATTATTATTATTATTATTTTATTTTTTCTTCTTTTTATACGTAGCTTTGAGACTAGGCAATAAATGTGTTTTATGTTTATAGAAAAAAATGCAGACGTTTCTTTCCTTTTTTTTTTTTTTTTATATTTAGAAATAAATTCTTAGGATTATTGTATAATCTTGGAATTTTTTTTTTTTTTTGAGAAAACAAACTTGCAAATAGATTTTAGACACTAGACGTAGTACTAAATCGAATATCGAACGTCGTAAAACGTTTTCGCATACTCTTCCCATCTATCGGTGTCGAAGCGTAAAACTATTTCCACGCTTCGCGAAGCATTTAACGTTGTGGGTCCTTTCGAACGGGTCATTACACGATCATCGTATATCATCTAATATGATGAACGTTACTTCATTTCAGAAAAGACTAAAAAAAGAAAAACATAAAAAAGATCGTTAAGAAATTATCTGCTTGTTGCATCTTTATACCTGAACCCTAATCGTTTTGTCTGTTAAACTCAGGAAGTATGGTTTCAAGTTTAAGAATCATTTTTCCAAAAGTGAATTCTTAAGAAAACAAAAATGCCGATAATACTGAAATTTTTGTGTGTCCTTGTTTAAAAAAAAAAAAAAAAAAAAAATGAGGATCCTTAACATTTCGGTTCTTTCTTTTTCGTATAAAACGTTACGTGCCATGTGTATCACCGAATGATGGTACACGTTGAACTTGTTCTTCAGGCCACATGTACCACCGGTGGTAATCTTTTACCATTTAACATATTTATTTAATACACTAAAAAATATGTTTATAACAAATTGAATTCTGTACAAAAATATTCCTATTAAAATATTGATGCATTATACAAAATGCTGTTTATTAGAACAAAGTACATAAGTTTGTTTAATATTGTTATATTTATATATATATATATAATAATTAATAATTACATGTAATGGTTAATTTTGTTAAAGCAAAATGAAATAACCTGATTGACAAGACAGGTAAAAAGTGTGGTTTTTTTTTTTTTTTTTTTTTTGCCGAAAATAACGCTGATGACCGGATGACTCATTCCGTAAATATTTCATTGTGAGAAGAGAAGTAAAACGAGAGAGAAGAAGACCCACGAATTATGAGAAAAACTTTTCTTTTTATTTTTTTATTTATTTATTTATTTTTTTTTTTTACATACACTTTAAAGTTCTTCTTCTTCTTTCTTATTTTTATTTCGAGTTCGATGACCTCTGTGTGTGTTGTTACTTTGTTTTCTTCAAGCGTAACGTTTCCAAACCAAAGCGGGGAGAATGATAGTCGGTCCGAACCAAAACGAATGACGAGAAGATGAAGAAGAGGCGGGAGGGGGGGGGAGAGAGAGGAATATAGACAGTATTGTCAGAGCGGAAACTACACAACCTCCCTCCCTCCCTCCCTCCCACCCTCCTATCGGTGTCATACCGTTGAAATAAAAACGTCGATCCGGCAAATATTGACGATTTTTCGTGCGGCACATAGGAGTAGTGTAGTATGTCTAGAAAGAGACGAGGCACACATACAGAAGCAACGAACTCACACAAACATATACAGAACTATTCTTTTTTTTTTTTTTTTTTTTTTTTAGATCGTTAGGTATTATGTACCAACGAAATTCATCGTGCGTATTTATTTTCTCTTTCCATGCGTTATATATATATTTTATTTCTTCTTCGTTTTAGTTTAAAAAAAAAAAAACTCACGTTCACATTGGCCGATCACTTCCTCCTCTTCCTCTTTCTCGTCCTCCTCTTTCTCCTTCCAATGTAATCGAATCTTTTTTCCTCATTGATCGAGCCGAAAAAGAAAGAGCGCGTGTTTTCCGTTTTTTTTTGTTTTTCCTTCTTTTTTACTACGTCATACGTTCCCATAGCGTATATAAAAGGACTCGACACGACTAACGAACGAGATCGAACACTAAGCGAGTTTTCCATTCTTTTTTTTTTTTTGCTGAAGTGGAAAACTTCTTTATTTTTCATTTCGTCTTTTCGCGTAAAAACACAAGAGAAAATACATAAGTTCATATATTGGGTTGGCAAGAAAGGAATTTTGGTTTTCTAGTGTGAAATATTACTTTCTTGCCAACCCAATAATATTATATATATATATATGTATATAATAGTTCAAACATTGGATTGGCAATTAAGTAATTGCGGATTTTTCAATGAAAATGAGTTGTGAAATCCGCAATTACTTAGTTGCCAACCCAATATATAATATTTCAAATATCTAATAATAAAATTTCAAATATGTATTATATATTTTTTTTATAATTGTAATATAATTATATAATATTTCAATATTCAATATATTCAAATATATATAATTTATATTTAATTATATATAATATATATAAAATTTTATAATATATATATATAAATTTACTTACTACCGAAATTACTTTCTTGCCAACCCAATAATATTATACATATATATATATTAAAATACTTATATTATTGTATAATATAATAATAAATATATGTATATAATAATTCAAATATATAATATATTTTTTGTATAATTATAATATAATTATAATATATCAATATTCAATATATTCAAATATATATAATTTACATTTAATTAAATATAATACATATAAATTTACTTACTACCGAAATTACTTTCTTGCCAACCCAATATATACACATGTTTAGAGA